ATTCCATAATAATTAGTTTACACATATAATTATGTAATTGGTTAAATTATGTCAATATAATAACGAGAAAATACAAGAAGTGGTAGTTACTTCATGGTAAATCCCTTATCAGAAAGTTCTATGTCCTAAGTCCAAATCCCTTACTTAATTAAATGTATTTGGAGAATAATTAGATTCAAATCTCTGATTAAACGCACTTTTCATAAAGTAATCTCTTATCAAGCACGAACGCTCGATTCAAACTATTTGTTTTAGAAAGGGCTTGAGCGGTCTTTGAATGGCTGGAAGCACATTTTTAAGCCCAAAACAATAAAAGCTCTGCCCAGCTCTGCTTCATATATTGCATTAAAATACAGAAGCAGTGCAAGAGCAGGTTTGGAAGCACATTTTCAAGTATAAAACACCAAAAGCCCTACCCAGATTTGCTTCATACACTACATCAAAATACGCCAACAGTGCGAGGGCAGGGATTTTCACGCACAAAACGTGAAAAGCTCTGCCCAGATCTGCTTCATACTTTTTTAAACACAAAACACTAAAATCTTTGCCCAGCTCTGCTTCATAAATTGCATTAAAATTTAAGTTAGATTCCGGACCGTTTCTTTTAAATTATATTGTTTTTTCCAGGATGGCGGTCAAATAATTAAACAACTTTATATTTTTTGTTACGTTTCGGTTTATTCTTCAGACTTTTAAAGTGTTATTGCTTCTACACAAATATCAACATAATTTTAAACGTAAAGTTGTTTAATTATTTGACCGCCACCCTAGAAAAAACAATAAAATTGCATCAAAATACGCCAACAGTGCGAGGGCAGAGCTGGAAGTACATTTTCAAAAACAAAACACTAAAAGCTCTGCCCAGATCTGCTTTATATATTACATCAAAATACGCAAACAGTGCGAGGAGGGCAGAGCTGGAAGTACATTTTCAAAAACAAAACACTAAAAGCTCTGCCCAGATCTGCTTCATACTTTACATTAAAATATTCAAGCAGTGAAGAACAGAGTTGAAAGCACATTTTCAAGTATAAAACACCAAAAGCCCTGCCCAGATCTGCTTCATACATTATATTAAAATACGCAAGCAGTGCAAGAACAGGGTTGAATGCACATTTTCAAGTATGAAACACCAAAAGCTCTGCCCAGCGCTGCTTCATATATTGCATCAAAATACGTCAACAGTGCGAGGAGGGCAGAGCTGGAAGTACATTTTCAAACACAAAACACTAAAAGCTCTGCCCAGATCTGCTTCATACTTTACATTAAAATACTCAAGCAGTGAAGAACAGAGTTGAAAGCACATTTTCAAGTATAAAACACCAAAAGCTCTGTCCAGATTTGCTTCATACTTTACATTAAAATACTCAAGCAGTGAAGAACAGAGTNTACCTGTATAGTAACTGTTTAGTGATTTCAGGCACGCCAACATAGAAATCAATACTGACTAACAAGATACCAATCACAACCATAGATAATTACAACTTTTTGTATATCTATTATCTATGACTTTTTTCTATGGATTTTCTTTTCGGGTCACGTCAAATAACCTCAATAGTGTGTGTACATATTACACATTTAAAATAATCCTTAAAAATAAAATCCATCAGTAAGTATTCTTGACATAAAACCATATTAATTAGAAAGTATGATAAAAACTATGCACATGTATAAGAATAGTTTTCTAAATAATTAAATTTTTTACTTTGCAGACCAAGATGGCAATAAGACCAGTATATAGGCCTAGAATTGTAAAAAAACGTACAAAGAAGTTTATTAGACATCAGTCAGATCGTTATGCTAAACTAAAGGTTAGTAATTCCTATTTTTATGTGGAAATTGGATGACTTGTAACCTTACTTTCGCTAATTGTTTTGACCGAATATGTATTTTAGAGAAACTGGAGAAAACCTAAGGGTATTGACAACAGAGTTCGCAGGCGCTTCAAGGGACAATACTTGATGCCTAATATTGGTTACGGTTCAAACAAAAAAACGCGCCACATGCTACCAACTGGCTTCCGGAAAGTCCTAGTTCATAATGTCAAAGTAAGTATACTCTGTTTAAGATGTTGAATCTATTCTAATTCGTGTTTAGCAATGATGCTTATGGTAATTTGCGTCTGACTACATCTGATGACATTTGTCACTGAGCTAAACATAAACACTACATTTGTATGCTTATTTTTGTAATTTCTGCTTGAATTTGTTTGTACTTTTATTTTTAGGAACTTGAAGTCCTGATGATGCAAAATCGAAAATTCTGTGCAGAAATTGCTCATGGAGTGTCATCAAAAAAGCGAAAGACTATTGTAGAAAGGGCACAACAGTTGTCAGTGCGTGTTACAAATGGACATGCAAGACTTCGTAGCCAGGAGAACGAATAAGTTATTTTGTATTATTGTAATAAATAAAATAATAAATGAAATAGCTGTAAACTGTTTTGTTATCATTGAAAGGGAAAAGTGCGTGATAAAAAATAAACCACTGTAATTTTTGTAGACAAATCTTTTTCTTATATAAATAAAAATATAAACTTACAAATTAGAAATCTAAAATTACACCGTAACATTTAAAATAAATAAGATTTAAGACCTAAGTTTCCATTTCTTCTCGATCATGGTCTTTGTCTCCGTCGTAAAACTCATTTTTTGCTTCGACCGTCTTGTCCTCTAATTCCTGACTTATTCTAACATCAGGATCTTCCTCTTTAGTTTTATTGTCGTCAATAAATGCGTCACCAGGTATATCTTGCATTTGAACACTTGGAGAATGTTGAATCATCTTCAAATTATCATACACATATCTAAAGAAAACGAAAGAAATTAACATGAAAACTATTATAAAATATATTATTGAGTACTTCGTAATTGCTTCCAAATACTGTCGACTGTTGGCATTTTCTCGTCTTATTACAACATCGGGATGCAGCGTAAAATCAGGAGCGAAAAATTCCAAATATTCAGTGTAAGGAAGTTCATTTGAAATTGTTTCATCAACCAACAAAGATGTTTCATACGTCCAACACCTGGCAACGTTTCGTAATGTGTAACCACCTCCGCCCACAACGAGGGTTGGCACGTTTAAGTTTCGTACAAACTTCACGCATTCGCCATGTCCTTTTGTACTTAATGAAAAACAACCTAATCTAAAGGTTGGTAAAATTTAAAAATTTGAACGAAATAGCTATTATAAGATGATTATTTTCAATTACCTGTCATTAGCTAAAGAGTCGGCACCACATTGTAACACAATTGCTGTTGGTTGAAAAAAATCCATTACGTTTAAAATTACAGGTTTAAAAACTTGCCAATAACTAGCGTCGTCGATACCCTCTTTTAAAGGAACGTTTACAGAATAATAACGACCACTTTCTGCTCCTATTTCATACATATCACCAGTTCCTTGAATAAAAGAAAAATTAAAAGTATTATTTAAATTAAATAAACCTTTCTGAGAAATCTTACTATATACATATTTTAATTAGATAAAAATCATACCAGGAAAGAAATAGTTCCCATATTTATGAAAACTAACTGTCATAACTCTATCAGTGAGGTAGAATGCTTCTTGGACTCCATCACCATGATGAACATCGATGTCTATGTACAATACCCTGGCATGATATTTTAATAGCTCTAAAATTCCAATTACAATATCATTAACGTAACAGAAACCAGAAGCTTCAAACTTTTTAGCATGATGAAGTCCACCTATAAAATTATATATTATTGGATTACCAAGAAATGCAAAGAACAACATATCATTAATTACCTGACCAGTTAATGGCAATATCACAGTCATTATTGTTTAACTTCATTGCACCTTCAAGTGAAGCTCCTGTATACATGGAACAGAAGTCAAATAGCCCATAAAAAACTGGACAGTCATCACCTACATTGTAATGACTAAGGTGCTTTGTAAAAGCCTGAATATTCTGAGGTGTTACTCTTTGTAAAAAATCTAAAATTAAGACAATTATTTCTTTATACTTGACAACAAATGCTTTACAGTTTCGTTGAAAGCTACCTACCTATATACTCATCAGAATGAAATCTGCACATGTCGTGAGCACTAGCTTTGTATGGACGATAAATTTGCATTTTGTTATTGAGGCCATAATTAAGAACTAGGCTATGTATAACAGAAAGCCTGTGGGGTTTCATAGGGTGGCCAGTGCCATAATGAAAATTTCCAACGTCCGGATTATAGAAGTAGGAAACACGTTTATTGGACATTATTAAAACAAACACTACACTTTTTACCACTAATGCACTAACAACGAAACAAAGATTGAAAATGTCTTCATACGAGCCGTAAAAATACAAAACATTGCTTACGATAGTGAGGTTATACCACAAAATTTATTTACAAGTGATTTGTATGGCTAGAACGATGCTTTAAATACTGCAAAAGTAAACGCTATGCGGAATACTAGTTTATAAATGCATTTATAAATGTTAAAATTTGCTTACAATCTATTTTTTTTAAATAACTGTCTACAAACGTCAAAACAAACATCATCAGATGTCAAACAGGTGCCAAACGTCAGAACCATAAACACCAAACACCATAGATATTACACACAACCCTAAAATTTTAGTTGCGTTCTGATCAACAGATTATAAACTAAATCTAAAAATTGAAACAAGTTAAGTTAGATTTACAATCACAATACAAAAATTGTAACAGGCTTTACAATTTCTACAAACTGCAGGTAATAAAAGCAGGTGATATTAATCAAACTAATTGTTTTTATTGTAACTTCAACCTATTTTGTATAGAATAAAAGTTTAAAATTGATTAATTCATTCTATGTAAGAGTATTAAAGGTTTTCTAATAGAAATTGTTCTATACTATCTCAAATAATAAAAATTTTTACTGAAATAACTGTGTCGACTATTAATCATTCTGCCAAAATTACTGAAAGCAAACTAACATTTTATTTTTACCGTTTTTCATGACACGTGAACGGCTCACGTCCGTCACAAAAACGATTCATGCTTAGGTCAAATATAGACTAAAAGTCCCCTGCAATTGTTTTGGAAACAATAATAGTGTAAGCGCATCGTTTTCATCTTTTTTATTACTGCATGGCTCGTTCCTCATCATACGTACACATACACGTGCGCTTATCTACGCGACAAGACGAAAACCACGGATAAAAAACGCCGAACAAAAACTGTAAACGACGTCGACCAGTATTTTATATTTGTATGAAATATGACAAAAGACAGCTGCTTTCTTCGATTGTTTTTGTCGTAAGGACCGTTTTAGACGTTCACTGGCCGGGAGACAAGAGAAAAAAAGATATTAAAAAGGCCAGGAGATAGTACCGTTGCTACATTAAGTGCACGGGACAAAAAAGTGTAGCCACGAGCCATCCGCATATGCATCGAGTAATTGCAATCTTAAACGTTTATAAAAATAAAGAGACTTAAAACACTTTGACGAAGACTGCGCCAGCGGTTTGATTAATTATTATGTTTTTGTTAGACCGAAAGTTTGCGATTTCATTCGATACTAAACAGCCAATAATTACGCGCTGCGTTGGTGTTAAAAAAATAAAATATTTGACCGATAATGCCTCTTGCTTTTTTTATCTCAAGAGTTCTATAAAATTGAATTAGGAATTTTTCCCTTGAATGTCAAAAACCACAATTACTTTTCGGATTTTAAGATAAACTTAATATCCCGTTTCAAAAATTGTTTTTGGGCCTAGAGGTTGACCTAAAGTTTGAGATTTTTAATAACTATTAAGTAAGGGTTGACATGAGTTGTTGAGGAAGCGAAATGTTTAACCAAGGTTTTTGATTACTAAATTCGTTTGAATGATGGACAGGAACAAGGAAGTTCCTTTTTTACCTTTTTGGTAAAGAACTCCAGATATAAGCCATATTTTGCGTATGTAACAACGCCATCATTTCAACGTTAGATATTTATTCCGTTTTGAACCTACTGCTCTTTCGCTTTTAGTCCAGTTATTTATTAGAACAAAAAGGGGATGAATTTACACATCTGGAAGAAATACTAGAAGTCTGATTCGAGTCTTATTAGTTAGGAGTTAGAAAAAAGAAATTAACAGTTAGATTCTATTTGAAATAATTCCTGTTTATGCATGCTAAACATAAACAAAAAGTAGAAAAATAAAGTGAAATTCTATCTCTTCTGCACATGTTAATTATTGCCGCAATGTACATACATAGAACGTAATGTAATAATGCAGCAACATCTTGAGTCCCTGATGTACAAGTAGGTACTTTTTTGGTACACAATACACATAAAGTTTGCAGTTAGTACACGATTCATTGTCTTGGATGTATCATTTACATCGTTAGTTTCAATGAATTAAAATCGCGTTAGTAATCATTTATCTAAACAGTTTTATACTTTTGTTCGAGTTTGAGAAAATATACTGTAAATACGAATATGAGTTTGTTTGTTTATTTTTCGCGCTTTAACTACTCGATCGATCGACAAGAAAATTTGTAGACACATTGTCAAGGGTACAGGAAAGGACATAGGGTACCTTTTATCCAGAAAAAAAAATACTATTCCTAGGGGATGGAATAATTAGTTTTATGCAGTCGTCGATAATCTTTGACACTTATTTAGAACAAGGACAATCGGCGGGTAAAACCTAGTATTATATAATTACAGTCGAACTTCGATAACTCGAACTGCGATTTGACATAAAAACTTCGAGTTATCAAAACTTCGAGTTATCAAATAATACTTCTTTAATTAGTATTTCTTTATGAATGAACACTTATGTATTTATTTCAGTAAAAATTGGTTAAACGTTACAGAAGTGCCTTAATATCTATGCTCTTCAAAAGAATAACAAAAGATTATGAAACAGTACTATCAACATATTTTTACATACATATTATCTACATATGTATGTACTACAAGAACATATATACATATACCTATGTATGTATTAACTATTTTACTTTAAAAAAAGTCAGTTATTTGTGACTGACGAACGGATTTCTTAACTTGGTTTTCGAAAAAAGCTTCAATTTCATTTAAACTATTATACAGGGCATCGGTTGTATATTCACTGGCTTTTAAATAGGAACGCAAGACACTCAACGAATTTTCAAATTTTTGACCAACAGACAATGTTTTTAAAGTACGCTTGATGACATATTAACACACGCAAAAATGTCTTTAAAGTAATATATAAATGAAATAGGCACAGTGTCTTTTAATTATTGTTAGTAGTAACTAGTAAGTCAAACAAGTGAACTTAGCAAGCGCAGAAACCGAACTNTAAAACACTAAAAGCTTTGCCCAGATCTGCTTCATACTTTACATTAAAATACTCAAGCAGTGAAGAACAGAGTTGAAAGCACATTTTCAAGTATAAAACACCAAAAGCTCTGTCCAGATTTGCTTCATACTTTACATTAAAATACTCAAGCAGTGAAGAACAGAGTTGAAAGCACATTTTCAAGTATAAAACACTAAAAGCTTTGCCCAGATCTGCTTCATACTTTACATTAAAATACTCAAGCAGTGAAGAACAGAGTTGAAAGCACATTTTCAAGTATAAAACACTAAAAGCTCTGCCCAGATCTGCTTCATACATTACATTAAAATACGCCAACAGTGCGAGGACAGGGCTGGAAGTACATTTTCAAAAACAAAACACTAAAAGCTCTGCCCAGATATTACGGGATTCCCCCAGAAAATTCGACTTATCGAAGTTGGCGCAAAATATTTCGTCCGAGTTATCAAGATATTCGAGTAATCGAAGTTCGAGTAATCAAGACAAATTTACACGCATTTGACGCTAATATCAACCAATTTGGTTCGACTTATCAAAAATTCGAGTTATCGAAGTTCGACTGTATTACAAATCTATAAAATGTAACATAAGGAAAAAGACGAATAATTATACAAAAAAAAAATCAGGAAAAAAAACGTGCTTATTTGATCTCTTCATTTCAAACTAAGTTGTTTATTTGACGGTCGTACTCAGCCCCCCATTTGTTTATTTAACTTTTTCCGTTTAATGTCACCACCCTTAATTCTCGCCGTTTAAAAAACACGTTTGCTTTAAAGAAAACGAAATACACATGTCCTTTACCGAGTTACACACTTAATATTTACTTAATAATAATAATAATTCCGAAAGTCAACCCCATATGTGCGCGTCCCTACTAAAAAAAAAAAAAAACCAATGGAAGGAATACTACGCCAGAATCATTGACACCGGTAGGAAAATTAAAAGTTCGGTTAATGAAAGAAAAAAAAACTATTAAAAATCGTTCTGATGTGTCATTTGTCATCTCTCGCCAGTGGCGAAGATAAATGCAAAGGAGAATTTAAGACACGGATTTTTAGGCATACATTTGAATAAGAAAATGAATGGTTTATCTATTAATTAGACTTCGATAACATAAGAACTTCTACACCTAATTAAATAACATTCTAATATCCACATTTTACCTCCTAAAATATTTTTTATTTAAATTTTTAGGCTCCAATAACGTAAACTACGTTAAGCAAAAATCGAAGCATGGAAAGCCTACGGAAAGATCTTTAAATCTATTTAAACTTTTACTTAATGAAGTTATGAAGTAAAAGTAAATAAATTTCTAACTTTTAAGTTTTAGTTCAATTCTAAATAAAAATTCTGATAAAGTTTAAGTTTATCTTGGTTGACTGTAAACTAAATTTAATAATAATAATANGAAAGCACATTTTCAAGTATAAAACACCAAAAGCTCTGTCCAGATTTGCTTCATACTTTACATTAAAATACTCAAGCAGTGAAGAACAGAGTTGAAAGCACATTTTCAAGTATAAAACACCAAAAGCTCTGTCCAGATTTGCTTCATACTTTACATTAAAATACTCAAGCAGTGAAGAACAGAGTTGAAAGCACATTTTCAAGTATAAAACACCAAAAGCTCTGTCCAGATTTGCTTCATACTTTACATTAAAATACTCAAGCAGTGAAGAACAGAGTTGAAAGCACATTTTCAAGTATAAAACACCAAAAGCTCTGTCCAGATTTGCTTCATACTTTACATTAAAATACTCAAGCAGTGAAGAACAGAGTTGAAAGCACATTTTCAAGTATAAAACACCAAAAGCTCTGTCCAGATTTGCTTCATACTTTACATTAAAATACTCAAGCAGTGAAGAACAGAGTTGAAAGCACATTTTCAAGTATAAAACACCAAAAGCTCTGTCCAGATTTGCTTCATACTTTACATTAAAATACTCAAGCAGTGAAGAACAGAGTTGAAAGCACATTTTCAAGTATAAAACACCAAAAGCTCTGTCCAGATTTGCTTCATACTTTACATTAAAATACTCAAGCAGTGAAGAACAGAGTTGAAAGCACATTTTCAAGTATAAAACACCAAAAGCTCTGTCCAGATTTGCTTCATACTTTACATTAAAATACTCAAGCAGTGAAGAACAGAGTTGAAAGCACATTTTCAAGTATAAAACACCAAAAGCTCTGTCCAGATTTGCTTCATACTTTACATTAAAATACTCAAGCAGTGAAGAACAGAGTTGAAAGCATAATAATATAAATTTATGAAATTTAATATTATAATAGAGAATAAGAATGAATTGAAGTATGTAACCAGTACAATTTCAAAGTAAAAATTTAACTAATTTGAATGTAAAAAATCTTAAATCTGCAAGAATCTGTTTTATTATATTACTCCTGGTTCCTCTGAATTTTTTTATCAGGCATGAAAGGTGAAAACGACCTTTCGAAACCCGAAAACTACAGTCTGTAACTATTTATGATATCAATCTAATCTAGGTCTACCTCTACTCCTCTTAACTCCTGTTTCTGCTTCTAATATGTTTGTAATTAGCCCTTCATGTCCAAGAAGGTGTCCTAAAAATCGATTTCGCCTATTTGCCTCTCCCTCTCTTCTCCTACTTTTTCTAAAACCTCCTCGTTCCCAACTCTTTTTAATTTAATAGTAACCGTTTTCGAATTTCCAAATTTTTGTTAGGTATGTACCTGACGCTTTTTTTTCATCTTTTTTGTTCAACAATATCTAAGTAAATAATTACTTATTTATTTTTAAGAAAAGGTAAATTTTTATCTACGGTTTTGAAGCATTGCAAAGTATTTTTCGTAAAAACGTTCAGTATCGTGAGATTGAAATTGGAAAATAATACTTTGTTGCATAAAAATCAGGACCCTGTAGAAAACTATAAAATTTGAATAGAGACAAGTGCAGTCCTGTACGCATAGCGATGATAGCATATCGAATTTCACTCGAGTTACTAATGAAAAAACACCAAAGCCACGTGTTTCTATCCAATGATGAAATTAAAACCCCTGTGCCCTTTTTATGGTAGCAATTTTGAAATAATTTATGCTACTGAACCCCCATTAAACTAATACAACAATTTTAAAATACTTCTGGATGAACTAATTATTATTTTAACATTATTGAGTGGTACATCGCTAGGTACCACCCTGCATATGAGAATATTAATAAAAAATATATTACAATGAAGACTTACATACAACACTATGGACTTTACCAATCGCGTCCACAACAATAAACGACTTACCCTGAAACAATAAAGAGAAATTTATTAATGTTTTGCATTTTATTACATAATATTAATTCCATAATAATNATGAGAATATTAATAAAAAATATATTACAATGAAGACTTACATACAACACTATGGACTTTACCAATCGCGTCCACAACAATAAACGACTTACCCTGAAACAATAAAGAGAAATTTATTAATGTTTTGCATTTTATTACATAATATTAATTCCATAATAATTAGTTTACACATATAATTATGTAATTGGTTAAATTATGTCAATATAATAACGAGAAAATACAAGAAGTGGTAGTTACTTCATGGTAAATCCCTTATCAGAAAGTTCTATGTCCTAAGTCCAAATCCCTTACTTAATTAAATGTATTTGGAGAATAATTAGATTCAAATCTCTGATTAAACGCACTTTTCATAAAGTAATCTCTTATCAAGCACGAACGCTCGATTCAAACTATTTGTTTTAGAAAGGGCTTGAGCGGTCTTTGAATGGCTGGAAGCACATTTTTAAGCCCAAAACAATAAAAGCTCTGCCCAGCTCTGCTTCATATATTGCATTAAAATACAGAAGCAGTGCAAGAGCAGGTTTGGAAGCACATTTTCAAGTATAAAACACCAAAAGCCCTACCCAGATTTGCTTCATACACTACATCAAAATACGCCAACAGTGCGAGGGCAGGGATTTTCACGCACAAAACGTGAAAAGCTCTGCCCAGATCTGCTTCATACTTTTTTAAACACAAAACACTAAAATCTTTGCCCAGCTCTGCTTCATAAATTGCATTAAAATTTAAGTTAGATTCCGGACCGTTTCTTTTAAATTATATTGTTTTTTCCAGGATGGCGGATAAATAATTAAACAACTTTATATTTTTTGTTACGTTTCGGTTTATTCTTCAGACTTTTAAAGTGTTATTGCTTCTACACAAATATCAACATAATTTTAAACGTAAAGTTGTTTAATTATTTGACCGCCACCCTAGAAAAAACAATAAAATTGCATCAAAATACGCCAACAGTGCGAGGGCAGAGCTGGAAGTACATTTTCAAAAACAAAACACTAAAAGCTCTGCCCAGATCTGCTTTATATATTACATCAAAATACGCAAACAGTGCGAGGAGGGCAGAGCTGGAAGTACATTTTCAAAAACAAAACACTAAAAGCTCTGCCCAGATCTGCTTCATACTTTACATTAAAATATTCAAGCAGTGAAGAACAGAGTTGAAAGCACATTTTCAAGTATAAAACACCAAAAGCCCTGCCCAGATCTGCTTCATACATTATATTAAAATACGCAAGCAGTGCAAGAACAGGGTTGAATGCACATTTTCAAGTATGAAACACCAAAAGCTCTGCCCAGCGCTGCTTCATATATTGCATCAAAATACGTCAACAGTGCGAGGAGGGCAGAGCTGGAAGTACATTTTCAAACACAAAACACTAAAAGCTCTGCCCAGATCTGCTTCATACTTTACATTAAAATACTCAAGCAGTGAAGAACAGAGTTGAAAGCACATTTTCAAGTATAAAACACTAAAAGCCCTGCCCAGATCTGCTTCATACATTATATTAAAATACGCAAGCAGTGCAAGAACAGGGTTGAAAGCACATTTTCAAGTATAAAACACGAAAAGCTCTGCCCAGATCTGCTTCATACGTTACATTAAAATACACCAACAGTGCGAGGACAGGGCTGGAAGCACATTTTCAAACACAAAACACTAAAAGCTCTGCCCAGCCTTGCTCCATACTTTCACAAAAATATACAAACAGTGCAAGAGCAGGGTATTACGGTAGATTCCAATTTTGATAGTTCAAACTTAATATATACGTACACATGGATCCTACAATTAGAGGATCTTCCCGTTTGTGCAATGCATTCCCATTTTTGTTCTTCTAATAATTATTTAACTTTAGTTTTAAAACTTTCACAAAAAGGTTTTGTAAAGTTAAAAAATTCAGAAGATATTCTAATAATAAACCAAAGTATCGCAATATTGTAAACGGTACCATTTTAAGGTACTCCCAAGCAACTTTTATGCTTCCGGCCCTACAAAAGGATAATTAATTACGCTAAAGCAATTAATGACAAAAAAGCGATCAAATAATAGAACAGGTTCCGTGCGGTGATGTATATTTTTAAAATAGCGAATATCAAATGACTAAGAAGAAACTCAAATCCTAATAAAAGGTGGATAGACATACGTAAGAAGAGTGGCAAAAATGCCATTTATAATTAACCAACACAGGGCATGCTTTACGTATATTATGTATTGTGCGTACATATCCCACATTACATAATTCCTTTTAAAATGTCCTCTATCTCTGTCTGATTTATGTCTAGCAGTTTTGTATCGTTTTCGTTTACATGGGGCTTTAAGAATTAAAACATGTGTTAAATTTTAACGCTTATTAGTTGAGATGCGAGTTTTGGTCGACGCATACAATTAGTGTGGCGTGAACTGCGCTAAGTAAGATGTGAATTGTCTCGTCCAAGTTCGGGGAAGTACCGATCGAACTTTTTGAGCGTTATTTGTTTGCGATTTTGTTTTAATGTACGTTTACATTTGAAAATTAGTATCCAGTTTTACTTTTTTCTCTAATTTTTTTGTTGAGTGCCTACATTTCCGGAATGTTGAGGAGATCATAGGAGTTAAAAGACAAGGGTAGGTAATTTTTAAAAAAAATTCTGGAATAATTTAAAAGTTTTAGTAATTGCATTAATAAATTCCAGATGTTGCTATTTGAAAATATGGCATCGACAACAGGTGTAGGTCAAGATTTTTACGAAAACACCTATGCGCCCCTAGAACTAACAGAAACTCAAAACGAACTGGTCGAAAAATTCACGGCCGCCTTCTACAACGCGCAAAACACAAAGAACTGCGACGCGACAACGGAAATTTTCGAAAATTTCGATGACAAATACTTTTCCGAGATTGAAGAGTACGAAAACGAAACGTCTAACGCCGGGGATTACCTGTTGGACTTTCTTCTTTCGAAACCTGACGATTCCGCATCGTCCACGTACGAAACGTGTTCTACGAGTGAAATTTCCAGTTACGGGTCATCTTCAATGAGTACGACGTCGAGCTACAGATCTTGTGCGACCGCGACGTTCACCGACGTTTCGTACACACCATCAGCAGTTGAAAATTGGTATTTGGTGAAACCATTGGAGTCACCAAGTAATTACTTTAACGTTTCTGTGGCAGAATCCCAGAATATTGTACAGGATTTTGACAAAGTTAATTTCGAGTGCGATCAAGGTCGGGGTCAGCAATTTGGGAGATGTATTGGTGATGTTGTAATCGATCAGGCGTTTGGTGACGTTTTGAATGAAGACGACTCAGTTTCCGAAAATCTAGACAGTCTGGACTTATCTGATATAGATCTTTGTGAAACTTTGTCAAACAGTTCATTCGATATCGATAACTTTGCGTCTGATATTTGCGAAAATCATAATATATCTGATAATGGAGATAATACAAGTGACTATGACTCTTTAACTGTTGTCCGAAATGATACGGAATTTTCGGAGTTTTTACGTAATCGACCCCCCGAATCGTTAGATCATTTCACTCAAAATCAGGTGAGATAAGTGACCATAAAGAAAAACACAGACGCTTTCTAACACCATTCTGTTTTTTAATAGGACAATTCGAGGGAAGTTTATGGTCATCTATTGGGCAACAGAACGACCAACAATAACACATCGAATATCTGTAATATCGAAGAGAGCGTGGCCAATTATGACCTTTCCAGCAACCAGGCGGTCATGGGTCAACAGGAAGCGTTACTCATGGATGACCCGTTACTAAGCTTTAGCAATGTGAACATGTTCCCTGGAAAGCACAAGAGACAGGAATCCGAAAGCCAGGAATCGGAAGTGAGCTCGGGATATGAGGAGAATTACAACAGGACCGTACTCCAGTGCAAGTGGGAGAATTGCTTCAAGATGTACGATTCGCAAGCGTCACTTGTTTTTCATATCGAAAAATCGCACGTGGAACTCAAGAGAGGTCAGTATTCAATACAATTTAATTTTAATAAGTGGTCTAAACTTTCTGAATACAACTCGTATGTGAAAAAGTTGATGGCTTGCTGATGCGAACGAATAAGTTCAAGTGGTGGTATCGATAAATTACCGATCAAGAACTTAATGTTCTTTAAAAAGTCATTATTAATTCCAGGAGAAGAATTTACTTGCTATTGGCTGAATTGTCCGAGACAAACGAAACCATTCAACGCCCGCTACAAACTTCTAATACACATGAGGGTCCATAGCGGGGAAAAACCGAATAAATGTCCGGTAAGCGTCTAAAGGGCAATTTTTAGCCTATCATATTTTATTATACTTTAATTAGAAAGTCGATTTAACAAAAAGTAAAAGCGCAGATCTATATTCACCTATAAGTGAATAAGTTTTTCCAAATTTCTTCCATTTCTCGTTATCTTAACGATTTCGTTTATAGAAACTTAAATTTTTCGAGGGATATACAAAATAATATGAAATATTAATATGAAAATTTTCGAATTTTTTACCCACTACATGTTAATGAGGGAAAATTGTTGCTGTTGTTGTTGTTGTTGTTGTTCTTCACCTACGTCAATTATTTATATTAATTTTTTTTTGCAAATTTCGGAGATAAAGAGGGTACAATATTTTGGGTGTCTTTGATTCTTTATCAATAGGTCGCCTATCTGAAAACGAGTTGAAGATTCACCTCAATTCTTTCCAATCTAGAGCCAATTTTCACTTTTCCCGAAATCTACAACATCTAGTAATCTAATCCAGATTATCCACACTCCCTCTTTGCTCCTGTTTATGTTTCTAGTGTGTCTCTAACTAGCCCTTAACATTTTAGAAAGTGCACTAACATTTTATCTCTTATTTGTCTTCGTTTTACCACTTTTTCCATTAGTTCCTTTACAGGTACAAAAGTAAAAATAGTACCTAAAAATGTCACCTTTTCGATTTTGAATTAATCGCTCCGTATATACAATTTCTTTTTTGATCTCTTCCATTAAATTGTACATATCGTCGTAAATATATAGAGGTAAAAAGTCGAGCGTGTTTTGAACGTTGTAAAAACGACGTTGGACAAACGAAACGAAAAAACTTATCTTTCGAACACATGTTGGAGACTCTGGCTGTCTTTAGAATAGTTTATCATTTACCGCCTTCTGTCTTATCCCTATAAATGTAATAATACCACCTGTTAGCGCGCGTCGTTGAGTTCAGTGCACTTTTTGATATAAACTGGATGGAACTTCTTCGTTTTTTTTTGTGATGGAGCATGTGCGCCTTTTTGACAGTAATTCCAGTACAGCACAGCATTTCCAAACTTGAAATACATTAAACCCGGCTCGGGTGTTATCCTATTGTTATTATTATTACTATCACTTGTCGAAAAAAGTTCCTCGACCCGTTTTTTTGTTAGGTATACCATTATGATTCTCGACCAAAACGAACTGTATGCAGATTTTGTCAGCTAATTCACAACGATGTTTGTTTGTGCAAAATTTTCGTTTGTTTTAGTAACGCATTCAATCTTTCTACGAAGATGTTTGCTTTATTTATAGTATGCAAAAAAAATACAGTTCTGTAACTCGAACATCTATAATTCGAAATATTTTCTAACACGAATCTTATTGTAACTCAAACTTTTATCAATTTTCTTCGAAAAATTCACCCTCAGCGATAACCAATAGCATAATAAGTATTTATTGAGACACTCAAAATTCTATTGAGCAGCAAAACAAGCGACTAGATTAGGTTAGGTTAGTTTGTGGTAGGCAAAGACAACACGAACGAAGTATTATACTGTCTGACATCGTAATCTGACATTGTAAGGGTTATTAAAGTTAGTAAAGTTTGACTATACTTTACTATTTCTTCTATTCTGTTTCTATATTTTGGTAAAAATTGCATTTCCTTAACAAATCTTGACTACACTACTCACTTGCTGGAAATTTTGAGTATGAACGTAGTAATTTAAATAAATAGATGTGGTGACTATACTTTATTTTTAGTTTAAGGGTTGTAACAAGGCGTTTTCTCGTTTGGAAAATCTCAAAATACATCAAAGGAGCCACACGGGGGAGAGACCGTACCTATGCCAATTTTCGAGCTGTACAAAAAGTTTTTCCAACAGTTCTGATAGAGCAAAACATCAAAGAACTCATTTTGATACGGTAAAAATTATATATTATACTACAAATTAATTATTATTATTATTACGTTTATTTATTTACAGAAACCCTATGCTTGTCAAGTAGTCGGTTGTTCGAAAAAATATACGGATCCTAGTAGCCTGAGGAAACACGTGAAAAATCACACGTACGAAGAACAAATGTTACTTAAAAAAAAGACTGAAGACAGCCGGCAGTTTCTTAGCAATAGTCCTAAGAAAAGCTTCACCTTACACAAACCCAAATCCAAAAATATGCAATCCATCAGTTTCCCGAAAGAAAACTTCAGTAAAACAACTGTATCAATTTCAGAGCACAATTATTCCAATACGTTCGTCCCTATTTTGGAATATGTGCAAAATACTCCCCATTCTAGTATAAGTGTGAGACAAGACTTAAAAAACAAGATCTCAGAAAAAAGACAAAGAAAAATCGCTCAATTTTAAATTTTAGTTGTATTAGAAAATAAGAAAAAATGTACATAATTAGTTTTTGTATTCATGTTACTGTATATAATTTGTACTATACATTTTTATATTGAATAAAAGCATTTTCGTTTTTTACTAACTGTTTTTATTTTACCTTTTCCTCATTCAGTTTTCCGCTTTAAAATTACATTCTGAAGGAATAACACCCTGTATGACATCACTTAATTTTTCGCTGGCTAAATGACTAGCAGCGCTTCAAAATTCGAGAACAAGAATAAAACTTTTATTATGACAGTTACTGAACAAAATAGATTTTTAGGTTAACTTTTACAAAATAAATATTAAAACTACTTTTAAGTTAACTTAAAAATGATAATCATGCCATTTCCTCATCTTAACGGATACGAAATTGCAGAAAAGGTTGGGGTTGGCAGTTTTTCGGTGGTTTACAAGGCCTACACTAAAGTAAGTCGTTGAACAAAACATGCTTTGTTTAGAGACAATTGTTTAAATATTACAGACAAATCCGAAAGAAGTAGTTGCTATAAAATGCATAGACAAACGATATCAACAAAAGTCTTTTGCTGATAATGTAGTTAAAGAAATATCTTTGCTTAAATTGCTCAAGCATGACTACATTGTGAGGTTGATAGATTTCCAATCTGATTCGAAGTAAGATAGTAAATGGTGTCACTATTATTACCTTGTAGCGTTAATATTTTAGGTATATTTTTATAATAACTGAATTTTGTGATGAAGGTGACCTGTCCCATTATATTAGAAAGAAACACAAACTGGCAGAATCATTAGTAAAGACTTTCATGCAACAGCTAGCCTTAGCATTAAAGTTCTTACGTAGTCATAACATTTGTCACATGGATCTCAAACCACAGAATCTATTACTACGTTCTAAACCTAAACTACAACTTAAAGTAGCTGATTTTGGGTAAAGTAAATAAATAAAATGACTTTAAAATGTATTAATTATTATTACTGTAGATTGTCACAAATAATTTCACCCCAAAACGCAGAGCAAAGTAGATTTGCTGGATCATTACTTTACATGGCCCCTGAGAAGCTTTTAAATCAACACTATGATGCTAGAGTAGACCTTTGGTCAGTGGGGATTATTATGTTTGAGTGTTTATTTGGACGGAACCCATTCCTTAATATGAATACAAAGGCTATAGTTGATCTCATGTTGAAAAGAGGGCCAATAGAAGTAAGATTTTCATGAAGGTTGTAGGGCAGAGGTGTTAAGTTTTTTTATTCCTTCAGCTACCTCCCAATGCCAATATAACACCTGTAGCTGAAGATTTACTGTTCAAACTATTGAAGCATAATCCTGATGAGAGGATTAATTTTGAGCAATTTTTTGAACATCCATTTCTAGATCTAATTCACATGGCCACACCTGAGAATTATCACACAGCAGTCAGCTTGATACAAGAAGCCATTGAATTAGACAAAAGTAAACAATATAGTGAATGTTTAGATAAATATAAGGTACAGTTTTAGTACCACTTAAAGAAGATAAAGATTTTTTTTGAGGCAATTACTACATGTAAACGAAATTTTAGTTCTAATTAATATAATATAATTTATTCAATGTTTAGGAAGCAGTGAGGTACTTGGAAGCCTTCATCCCTTTAGAAACCAACCCTAACCGAAAAGCAATGCTAGCTTTAAGACTTTCAGAGTATACCAAAAGAATTACCGCACTTAACGACATGCTATCGGGGAAAGAAAATAGTAAATTAGTTGCAACAGATTTGCAACCCTTGCCTTTGACAGACGATCAGTTTGACATGCTCAGGGGATTGTCCACTTTGACCCCTAACATGGCAACCGGCCTCGACATCGGTTGCACGGGGGAACTTTATATGGTAGAAGGAAAAAATTCTTTAGCCTTAGAAAAACTTACTTCAGCACTTTCGCTTCTTATTCCTATTCTTGGAAACGAACCGCCTGGGGTTAGAAAGGATTTACTACATGCTCAAGTAAGACTTAAGCTACCATCAAAAAGAACTAGGGTAATTTTTGTTGTTTTTTCTTTGATTTTTAGGTTCAAAAATGGTTGTCATTGGCAGAGTCTTTAAAGAAAGTGCAATCAACCTCGGCTTCCTAGTGAAAATTTTTGAGTAGCTTTTTTTCTAGTACAAATGATAATATTACATACCCTATTCATTTTAAGCTTAATTGTGATAAAAAGTAAATTTTTGTATATGTATTTTTAGTATCTGTTAATTCCGTACGCTAGTTAAGTTTAGGAGTTGAGAATTGATTTTTACTGTTCAAGTAATTTTTTGGAGACAAATAGGAATAAATAAATTCTTTTCTTTGTACATAAATATATGCATAAGAAAATTGTGTTTATATCTTATGAAAAACGAAGATATAATGTTCTACAGTAAATAATAATGTAAGCAGACTGTTTATAACAATAAAAAGTATTTAAATAGATTTATACGCTTCATTAGAGGTAATAAAAAAATTAGTGGTTCCTGATGTCTCATTCGATGGCTAATTAAAAGATTCCTGCACCTTTAGTCCCGTTTATAATGTTACGTTGAAGCTTATCGCTGTTTTTAAGTTTTCAACACCTTTAGTAGTCAGAACCTTTTCACGACAAATTTCAGGAATTATTATGACTAATGTTAGTGTGAACATTTATTCGATCTTTATGCACCACAAAACACCTCAAATTAATGAGGAAAAAATATTACTGCTATCCTACCCTCGCCGGAAATCGAACCCGCGACCCTTGGCTTTACGTATACCAATACTCTGACCGCTAAGCCACAAAAAATGAGCAATAACAACGAAACCTATTTTTAGATCGCAGATTCATCGAACTAATTTGTGTATATAAATACCATATGAAATCGTTTTAAGAAACGTTTAATAGTGATTAAGATCTAATATTAATGTGAAAATTAAAATTAATATTTATCCACTATAAATCACCTCGGATTAATGACGAAAAATTTACATATACTAACACTGTTTAATTTTTTATTACGTAAAATTACGAACGAATAATATTTATTTATGAAAATTCCAGATTTCTGGAAAAATGATTTTTATTTATTATCATATCTAATATTCGATTGATGATACCACAAATGACTTTGTTTATTTAGTTATTGTTAACTTAAAGTGTGAATGCGTGATAAACATATTGCGATGAATAAATATCTAATATATAGTAGCAACCTTCACGACATAGGGTCAAGTTTAACGTATTCATTTGTAGTCAATACAAATAAAGTTTCATTGTGTGTACATAATAATCGTTTAAACAATAAGACTGCTCTAAAAAAAACGAGAAAACGTGTCATTAATATTTATTTTTGCATTTTGTGCCAACAAATGCAATATACAAAGAATGAAGACGATAAATAAAACTGGCTCCATTTCAATGAAATAATAGAAAAAACTGGAACAAAATCAAAACAATTACATTTTTATAGACTGTTTAAATCGATATGTTTATTACTTTTTTTTTATCTATAGCCACATATAAATAAAATTGAAGTCAGTCTGTAATATCGAAATAACTTTTTTCTGTGCCTAAATGGCTCTTTGTACAGTATTAAGTCATAAAGTACCCTTAAATGTTTAATATTTGAAACTGTTGAATCGATTTCAATGGGACTTCCCAAACACGAAGAGAAGGCTATTTTTTCCAATTGTTTACTGTTGGTCACAACAACTGTTTTTATTATAAACAATGAGAAGTTGTTTTTCGTGGACTAAATTGCGTGTAGAAGTTAGTTTTTTTTTTATTTAAAGTAAATTAAAATTGAAATGCTTTGTCATGAAATGCTTTAATAATTTAATAAAGATAAGGTCATGTTTGCGCAATTGTAAACTTAAAATTTAACGAAATGAAGCACGTGATTGAGTGCGACTAGGGCACGTGGGTGAAGCATAGATTAAGGAAATATATCCACTGTAATAAATATATATAATTCTTATCTATATCTGACTATTTCTTTCCACGTTAAGTAGGCTAATCAGGACGTTCATGTACGTGGAATATTGTCTGGTATGCGATTGTAAAAAGATATTCTGGTTGACGATTAATTCACAAACTGATAAGTATGAAGTGGATATCCTTCGGATATGTAAGGGTCGTACTTAGGTCGACGATCAAAATTTTATGGGTTGATTTCTATGGATTTCAAACTCATTGGAATGCGACGTATGTGACATTTCTCCGTTTCCACAAACAGCAGTTTAGCATGTCCTAAATAGGCCCCCAATAATGATGCCACGTACGAGCGACATCCATCGAAGATATAAAGAACGCGAGAAAGCAAAGTAATAGAAAGGTGCATTTACAACGAGCCCCTAAAATAAACAAACGCCTAATAACTAATTCCACATCATCAGTTCGACTTTACAGAATAGTTATGTATCGTCCACCAACTCAGTAGAATGTGTGAAGATATACCAGATCGTATACAACAAATCTAGCAAACGTCCAATAAAAACAGGTGTTCCACAGGGATCAATTCTGGTCCCTCTTTTATTCAATCTGTATATGACGGATATCCTCAAGGACACAACATCAAAAATTGCACATTACACTTTCTACACAGGTCATCCAACAAGAAGATTTAACGAAATATTAGGAAAGCCATCCAAAACAACCACCAAAAATGGTCCACATGACAGAGAATGATACTCAACATTGACAAGCAGTATTATTTCGTAAAAATAGGAAAAAGACAGAAACAACTTCCCTCAACGCTATCGATATACAGCAAAAAAATACAACGGATGATAGGAATCACGATTGATAAAACAAGTTCTTCAACCAAAAAAAAGGGACAATTCTACCCTCTACTTCAAAGCAACAACAAACACCTCCTGAGACAGTCCCCGCTGGGGGGGGGGTGTCATATTACAATATCAAATGCCTAATTTCCAAGTGAACTAAACTCCTTATCGTATGACATCATCAGTGATTGAGATCAGGTAATCCAACAGAACTTCGTCAATCACACCATTCCTCTTGTCTTGAACAGGGCAAGTCCTCCAATTCGCAAAAGGGACAAAATTAAATATATTTATGGTCTGCCATAATCCTATCCTTACAGTATACATAGGAAAAACAACTGCCTCGATAATTTGTTAATTATTATTATTGGTTTTTTTCTTTAGGTCATTAGTGTTTACACTTATATAATATATGTAATCGAAAATATTCCTTGTTATGAGTTTTTGAACTTCAACTTCATTTTTATCGTATAATACTTGGCAAGGTCTCACATTTATCAATTGAACACATTTTTTATAGTTCAACTAATTTTGTATGTAGTACGTAACTGCAAAATGTGTTTCTTNATTTCTAACCTTCTCTATCTACGGTATCCTCATCATTCGCCTGTAACACCACATTTAAAACACTTCTAAACTTTTCGCGAGCATAGAAGTGATTTCTTTTTATTGAAGGCGATTCGACCCTGCGCTATCCTCTGCTTTATATCCCTACTACTTCTTCCGTCCTGACTTATCTGACTTCCTAGATACCTAAAATCAGCCACTTCTAATTTTTCGTCTCCTATCTTTAAATTCGCTCTTTCCCTACTTTTTCTTCCCTTGCATACCAGTATTTTTATTTTACTTTTATTTATTTTTATACACTACTATTTTGTCAATACCGTCTCCATTTTATTTGAAGCTATCTCTAACTTCTCCTTGCTAGATGCTAATACTGCTGTATTGTCTGCAAATCTAAGCATACTGATCTTTTGCCCCTGTATATTTATTCCTACATGCACTGTATTTAATGGAGGGTGCATTTAAGGGAGGCTTATTATATACACTTGTATCCTTTATATTATTTTTCATATGAAAATTTGCATTCTTGAGGTAACAACTAGGTAATGGTATTAATAAATTAGTTGTTTAAACGTATCCTCTATCCTTTGCGATTTTCTTCGATGAAAGTAATTTCTATACCTATTTCTATTTTTAAAAACTCATGGGTGGTGTCAATATCTTGGGTATTTTTACAACTTCTTCAATAAGCCATCAGTCATTTCATGCATATATCCCACTTTCAGTAATGGTTTGTTTCTTGTAATACATTGCTTACGAATTGAACTTCATCAATGATTAAGTCCTTCGATTAGCTTCTTGATTAACCCAAAAGTCTTACAATTTGACTTTTTTTTGTTTTGTTCAGCTCCTCATATTGGTAATCCTATTGTACATACATGTAACGATTTTGAGAATTTTGAAGTTTTCAGTTTCTGATATAAATTTTTCCGAGTTAAAGTAAGACACTTATTCGCAGTAAATATTTTTGGTAAAATTTTCCATACTTCAAAATATTTTTTTTTGTGTACCTACCTACGAATATGTACTACTACTACTACTACTAAGTAACAATAGGTTCCAGACTAATTACAAACTAATTATAAAGTTGTATTTGTTTTCACAGCGTCTCGTTCTCGCATATTTCACGTGGCAGAACGATAATGCCGTAATTTGTTTAAATAGTTTCAAAGACACGTCTGCATCATATATTTAATTAGAAGGATAATTTCGATATTTAATTAGGTATAAAAATACTAACAATATCATTTTTTACACGGCAAACTTGGACCGTTATCATTCGCAAAGTTTTTTTTAAGTAAACATGTATTAGACTATATTGCTATATAACTTGCAAAAGTGACAAATATTCGTTGTAATTAAATTATAATACGTAACTGAACGGTCATATACAGAGTGGCCCAAAAAGTACGCAATATGCTTATTGTGGCAAAACTCCTAAAAAAGAAATTGTACCACAGTTAAGAATGGGTCAAATTGGAAAAAACTTCCAGGAAAATGTTTTTCATGATGCTAAAATATCACAAAATCTTTTTTTAATGATCATATTGCGAAGGTACTTCTCGAGCCACCCTGTATATACGAGGACGTTTCAATAAATTATGACATTTGCTTTCTGAAATCGTTTTGATTGATGCTACTGTTAAGAAATTTTTATGAACTATTGTTTCAATTGCTTTATTTCTGCTAGATGATGTAAATGTTAAATTACCTTTGTGGGTACATTTTAGGGAAAATAATGGCAAAACTATCCAGTTGTCATGTATCGCAATCTTATTCATTTTCAACACCTCATTTACTACAGTTGGACGATTGAATTGATATTGAACACATTTTTTTATGGTTCAACAAATTTCGAATGTGGAATATTCTGTGTTGTTTTTTTCAATATCTTATTTTATTTCCGACAGGTTTGAAACTAATTATAAGCAAATGGATTTTTACAGTATTTTTAAGAACTCCCTGTATTCCTCTAGAAATGTCTGATTCTGGAAAGCTTTTGTTGAGCCATATCATTAAATTTCAAGGCCTGTTTGATCAGACAAAATGACAATATGATATAGCACATAAACTTNGAAAAA